CCCAAGCATGGTAAAATAATTGTAGAAGCTGACATGTGAAAGAATTTTCTTGCACATCAACAGCAGAGACTGCTTTCCTCCTTAGGGACTTTCTTAAAGGTTAAATGTCCAGTGGTTTAGTATATCCTGGCAGTGAACAGAAATCACTGCTTAGAAGTAGGACTGTGAGAACAGGGCAGCACTTGCTAGCGCTACTGAAGATTTTTTATACTTGGTGTCCACTCCTACTGTAAGTCAACCTAGCTTTTCTGGAGAGCTATATTACGTGTAGTAAATATCTTTAGAGACTTCTAAAAATAAAATGGGATATTGAATATAAAGGTATACTTATTAGCACTGCATAGCTCTATTTTCTGTGTTAAATACAGGCAACAAAACTTAAATTTGCTGGGCTGGGCATGGTGGCTTATGCCTGTAATCTTAGCACTCTGGGAGGCTGAGGCAGGAGGATCCCTTGAGCTCAGGAGTTCGAGACCAGCCTGAGCAAGAGCGAGACCCCATCTCTACTAAAAATAGAAAAATGAGCTGGGCATCACGTCACTCGCCTATAGTCCCAACTACTCAGGAGGCTGAGGCAGGAGGATTGCTTGAGCCCAGGAGTTTGAGGTGGTTGTGAGCAAGGCTGATGCCATGGCATTCTACTCATGGCAACAGAGTGAGACTCTGTCTCAAAAACAAACAAACAAACAAACAAAAAAACACTTAAATTTGCTAAAGTTAATTCTTTACTAAAATGAAACTGAAAATTAATACATTAGTAGATGGATCAATGGACTTGGGATCTTTTACAGTTGCATAGTTAAAAAATAAAGAGGACTTAAAAACCTGTTTCCTGAATTAATCTTTTCCCATTGTTATAGGAGATTCTGTTCTTTTATCTTAGTGATGAAGATGAATTATTTAGTTCTGAGATTTGGCTAAAGTTGTTCATGACTTGCTGCTGTTCCCACTAATTAATTTCTGTGCTTGTCCAAGAAGCATGAGTGCCATCTTGAAATGCTGAGTAAATGTCAAGCAAGTCTTTTCCAATTTGCATTTTATTTTGCTTTTATGATTCTAAGTATCTAATTTGATTATCTTCCTTGATTAACTTTTTTTTTTTAATTTAACCTAAGATTTAAACTTTAGGGTTCTCCTGGCCCTAATTATACCATAAAAGATTTATTGTAATTTGATCACAAAGAAACTTGAAATAATTATACTATAACTATTAATAATTGGATTTCTATTAATAGTCTTGCTTCCTGTTTCTCATTGCCCATAATTTCTGATGTTTGTGTCTAAATTCTTGTAAATTCTTGCTTCGTTTGTAAAATTCAATCAATGATTTAAAAAGCTAAGATGCTCTCTGAATATTCTCTTTTAGTCATAATCTACTATTTTAAAATGAATTTATAATTTATAGGATGAACTGGCATCTTTAAAAGAACAACTGGAAGAAAAGGAAGCCGAAGTAAAAAGGCTACATGAAAAATTGGTTTCCAAGATGAAAGGAGAAGGGATTGAAATTCTTGATAGAGGTAAGAATATATGCTAAGCGTTTGTTATGTTGTTAAAATCCTCCAAAACCTGTAGAAGAAACTGATGATAGTCAATGTGTAATTTTAGCACCAAAGAGCAGAAGCCAACTAGGCCCAGGACCACAGGGAATTCTCCACGACTCTTCACTGTGCCTGGGAATCCATTAATTCTGTCACGTTAGATTACTAAATTGTAAATTCTCATCACAAGAATGTACTTGTCCAAATTGCAATACAAGGGAATGTGAAAATAATTCAAAGGAACCACTACTATGTCCCAAGATTGTTTCCCCTGGAACTAAAATAGAGACAAAATAAAGTAAGGAATTTGGAAACCTTTCCTGTTCTTTTGAGAGAAGAGACAAATGGCTCTGTATCTTTGGAAAATTATTGAAAATTTCATACCAAGGTTTGAGCCTTCAACCTTTTAGAAGGCAAGAATAGACTAATTCTGATTTTAGAAAAATGTACAAATTTATCCAAATTTTTTTTCATACCTGAGGAGGTTCTGAGTATGATATGGACTATAATTTCTAATACTGTATGTTATACATGATAGAAAATATTGTGAATTAAATGTGGTTTTTTAAAAGTTATATTTGGGGCCGGGCGCGGTGGCTCACACCTATAATCCTAGCACTCTGGGAGGCCGAGGCAGGCGGATCGTTTGAGCTCAGGAGTTCGAGACCAGCCTGAGCAAGAG